GAAGCTACCAGTATCTCCTGCTTCTGAGTCTGCAGTGGCCAATTATGTAGCCTTCTGCACTCTGATAGCATATAGCTATTTACATTTAAGTTAACTAAAAAAAAAATAAAAACAATTCACTTCCTCGGCCATCGGCCATCTAGTGCCCACTAGCTACATGTGGCCCCGGGTTACTGTACCGGTCAGGGAAGATCCCGAACATTGTCGTCATCATCACAGAAAGTTCGAATAGCAAGGCCAATGCAGTCTACTCCCTCAGTAAGACCAGCGTAACCCCTTTAACATGTGAACTGGATCATCCCAACTGGAGGCCTTCAATGACAAAGACTCAAATGCTGGGTCTTCGGAGACCTGGATGCCTGCGTGGCCTCCATCTTCCCCATGTCACCATCAGTCCCTCTCTACTTGCTCTCTATCCTTCTGCCATACGACTCTTCCTCTGGCCCCTCAAAACCAGAGGGTTCCTTACCACCACAGGTACTCTAAAGGTGTTGTTCTCTGTCCCATGTGCGTTCCCTGCCTCCTTTCCCCTTCACTGAGTAATTCTCACTCAAACTTCCTGTGTAGGATTAAATATCACTTCCTTTCTCTGACTCCTTCATTATGCACTTTTTAAAAAAAAAGATTTTATGTATTTATTTGACAGAGAGAGACACAGCGAGAGAGGGAACACAAGCAGGGGAAGCAGGAGAGGGAGAAGCAGGCTTCCTGCTGAGCAGGGAGCCCGACGGGGGGCTTGATCCCAGGACCCTGGGACCATGACCTGAGCCGAAGGCAGCCGCCTAATGACTGAGCCACCCAGGCGCCCCCATTATACACTTTTTGATAGCACATGTCTACTACACTAACTTCCTAAACTACACTAACTACTACTACTACGCAAGTTCTAAAATGGTAGAATTTTTTCTCTGTCTTCTCTACAAGATCACGATACAAGAGGACAGGGACTAGACCTATCATGCTTCCTGGTCCACATCAACCCCTGAAAGTAGCTTGCATATAGCAGGTACTTAGTAAACAACTGATGAACAAGGAAAAATTCTTAAAAGTAAGTAAGAATAAGGACTATTCCCATTCAAGCTAGGAGGGCTATATTTTTAAGTAGTGAAATATGTGATTTTTGTTATGGCAGAAAGTCCGGTTCTAATTTTAATGTAAAATTAGTGTTTTACAATTGTAAGGCTGATTCTTAAAACAGCAGTGTTTGAAGTGACCTTTGCAATTTCCTAAATAAATTACCACAGAAACCTCTGACATTTACAAACTAAATACACTAAGTACTATCTCATCAATAACAAGCCCTGTTGTTATAAACATGATTGCGGGAGACAAATGCAAGTGATGCATGGTAACGCAAATCACTGTCCGGTTACTGTCAAAACAACAAGGACTAAATGAAGTAATAGGAAATGATGGCCATGATCCAGACATGTCCTTCAGAGTTAAAGCAATGAGAACTGAAAGCTAACAGCCAGAAGCAGCTTCATTTTCTTCCCCTCTTGGGTTATGATTCTATAATGGATGGAAGAAGCAAGTTTGGGCATTTGGTGATTTTTAAAAAAGGAAAAAGGGTTACATAATAATACATTTGCTTGAATTAATTTTGGTAAATGCCAGTTAATTTTCTATATTTTTATTTCCTGCCTATAAATTTGTCATATTTGGAAAGAATGAAAATAAAGGAACATAGAGGAGAAACAAGAACAAGCCTTTTTGACAACTTAGCATATCACTCACTGTGCTTCCCCATATCTGGAGGACTATTTGTGTTGGCAACAGAATCCTGTGTAAATATTAAGTGGGTGTGGGAGAGAACATGCCTGATTTTATCAGCAGGAAGGAACCTCCCACTTCTACAAGAACATATATGGTATTTTTATTCCCAAATGTTCTAAAGGTAACGTGTACTATAATCACTCAAATATTATGCTCTTCTCTATAGAAGACAATTTACTCTTTCTTTCCCAAGAGGAATAGGTCCCATAAAAGGATTCCTAATACTTAAGAGATAAAACAAGTAGCAAAATAAGACAAAAAGGATTAAATACTCAGAATCTTTATTTTTTATTATTTTGCATATTTCATCTGAACCTGAACTTCTCAAAGCATTCCCCCAATGATGCTAGTGACACTATATGTATGTTAATGTTGTTATATTAATCAAAGAAGAATGGGCACCTGGGGGGCTCAGACGGTTAAGCGTCTGCCTTCAGCTCAGGTCATGATCCCAGGGTCCTGGGATCGAGCCCCGCATCAGGCTTCCCTGCTCGGCGGGGAGTCTGCTTCTCCCTCTGCCCCTCACCCTGCTCGTGCTCCCCCCTCAAATAAATAAATAAATAAATAAATAAAATCTTAAACAAAAAGAAGAATGATAATTGTTCTGTCTATAGACATGGAGTCCCACATCTGGCCTCAACAGTTGCAAGATCTCTTTATATTATCAGTGACTAGGACCTGATGCTGCCTCTCAGCCACAACTGAGGAGCAGAGAATAAATAGAACCATTATTAAAAGCAGAGGCAGAAAGACAGACTGGAAACAGAGTGCATGAATACTCACAAAATTCACCTACTAGTAAGTAAGTAACACCTACTAGTGTAAGATAACGGTACACTGGGTTAACAAATATCCACAAGACAATGTCACTGGCCTCAAAAGTTTTGGATCCCTAGGAAGATGGGGATGTATATGAATCATTTTGAAAAAGATAATGATAGATAAATCCAAAGTACTGGTGCAGGGGAGGAAGGGGTAAGTAGAGGATGAGTGGGTACTAACAAATTCCAACCAGGGTCTTGCAGAAGAAGGTCCCCCAGAAGAAAGGGCAATTGAGCTGGTGTAGTCAGAAGAGAGGTAATAGACCTTGGTAGAGTCAGAAGAGAGGTAAAAGGGCTGAGGAAACAGCACAAACCAAGACCTGGATATGACCAAGCGGGCCTTGATTAAAGAACGAAAAAATAAGTGTGTCTCCATTGTGGCTGGAACACAGGATAGGGGTGGGGAGGGAGCGCAGACATGAGAGTCATCAACCCTATTTGTTTGCCATCAAGAAATTGGTCCATGAGCAATCCAAATATAACGGGCCCTTTGTACCAGGAAACATGGCCAAATACACAATATACTGGTAACCCAGAAGCTAAAACTGGGATGTTCCAGTACAACTGATACTTTTTGTCCCTCTTCACAGTGACTTCTAAATCCTAAACCACAAGAAGAAAACAGTCATAGAGAATTCTTTTCAATTTTTAAAATCATTCATGAGAAGGAAAATGCTAAAAACGCCTGTCCTTTTAGAGAATCTTATCTGGTCCTTGTACTCAGAAAGCTACTCAAGTTCTATTTTATCTCAAATACTCTTAATGGTTCTTAAACTTTCAGTCTCAGCACGCTTTACACTCTTAACAACAAATAAATGCCCTAAATAACTTGTTTATGTAATTTCTATAAGTATTTACCATATTGGAAATGAAATTTAAAATATTTAAATTAAGTTAAAATATTTTATTAATTTACAATGATAATACAACCATTATGATAACATATCTTTCATAAAAACATTATATTTTACAACATAAAAAATTAGCTAAAAGACTGACACTGATTTATATTTTTGCAAATATTTTAAATTTTTGCTGTACTAGAAGACAGCTGGATTTTTGTATCTGCTGTATATTCAACCTGTTGCTATCTGTCATTTTGGTGGAAATAACATGAAGAAAATTCAGCCTCACACAGTTACAGTTACACAGTTGGAAAAGAAAGTATTTTACGAGTCTTTTCAGATAATTGTGGATATTTTTCTTTGACACTAAAACAAACCTTGACAAGTAGTTTTTTAAAGGTTAACATTTTTTTTTAAAAGATTTTATTTATTTATTTGAGAGAGAGAGAATGAGAGAGAGCACATGAGAGGGGGGAGGGCCAAAGGGAGAAGCAGACTCCCTGCCGAGCAGGGAGCCCGATGCGGGACTGGATCCAGGGACTCCAGGATCATGACCTGAGCCGAAGGCAGTCGCTTAACCAACTGAGCCACCCAGGCGCCCCAGCCTTAGTAGTATTATAAAAATAGCTTTGACCTTCGGGACCCCGTGAACGGTCTCAGCGACAGGCAGTGATCTGCAGACCACACTTGGCTAAGTGGCAACCTTCTGGTCTTACAGTCTCAACGGCTAGGCCTTCCATAGCCACTACAGACAGAGATTTTAGCACAATTTTTATTCTACGAAATTATTCTTTAAGAGAAGTACTTCTACAGTAACAGTGGGGCATATTCACCTAAGAATATAATTTGAAATATAAAGAAAATACTCAAATTAGAATAAAATTGTAAGGCACTGCTAACAGCCCCAGCACCGTGAGGCAGCTCACTTAGTATTCTGTACTCGCTCTCAGTTGTGGTGTTAATCTACCACTGTTTTTCCAAATCAGCTTGAGAACATTTCTTTCAACTACTCTGAATCTTCATACCAGAGTCAAAGTCCCTAAGGGATCTGAAGTGAGGGCTTCTTGCATAATGCTTTCTCCTAATCTGAAGATAATTCTACTGGGAAGAAACCATTATCTGCTGGCTTAAAATTAAGTAGAGAAAATACCCTGTATGCTCTTTCAATTTCCTAACCCTTAAAGATTCAGGTTCCTCTCTCATCTTGGAGCCAAGAAGAAAAAGAGAAAATGCTATACAGTAGAATGATCTAGCTGCTCTGTGCAAAACCCTGATTGTCTATAATAGCACAAAGGAACAATTTTCCCTTCTATCCACACGACCGGCTTGTTATGGGCTAACATCCCCACACAACCCGACCCGATCTTCCCTTCCTGATTAATAATTTAAATGTGCTTACATGTCATCATACTCACAGTTATGCACGAAAAACAAACAATCTAGATCCCTGGTAACATTTATAGTCTCTCTTACGAGAAGCCTATTTAGTAAAGGAAACATGCCCACTTTCCCCTTTTTGAAACATTCCCCAAAAAGATTTGTGCTTTTTTGTACTCCTTCTCTGTGTTACTAGAACAGTGCTGGGTATCATAAAGAGCTAAAACAATGCTAATCTTTTGACTTACATTGACCCCACTGTCCACTACTGGGATTCAGATAGTTAGGATAAAGGCCTTGTGGTTTTTCCAGGTTGTTCAGTACTGTTCGAATATTCATTACCTACAACAGAAAATGAGATGTTACTATGAAAATCTAAAACACAATTTTGGTGCCATTCTTCTCTTTCTCCATTATATTTTTCCATGTTAGGAAAGAAGACTGATTTAAAAGAATTAGAACAAAGAGAGTCGCCCCCAGCTTACAAAAATAATCGCAGTAAGTGAATACAGTCACACTCATCCGCCAGATGCCAAAGAAGGAACTAGGGATCTATCAGTGGATAAACAAAGTCATTACCCTCTTGGAATTTGCAGTCTAGTGGGAGGAGACAGATAATAAGCACATAAATATGTCAGGTGGTGACAGATGCTATGAAAAAGTTATAGAGAACAATGGGACAGAGTGATGTGAGGTCGTGAGGCTGCACGCTTAGTCAGGGAGGTCTGGGGAGCCTGATGGGAGGGGGTTTGAGCCAAAACTTAAAGTAGCAAAGGAATAACCATGCAGAAAGTTGGAGGAAGAGCAACCAGGGCAGAGGGAGGTGCAAGCACAAACGCCCTGAGAAGAGAGTGGGTTTGGCAAGACCACTGAGGCTGGAGGTGAGGAAGCAAAGGGGAGAATGTCAAAGAGAGAGGAGAGAGAGAGTCAGGGCCCACATCATGCAAGCCTCATGGGCCAAGATGAAGGCTTATTTTATTCCAAGTGTGATGGGAAGCCATTGAAGTTTCATGTGGTTGAGGGGACAAGAGAGGAAGCAGTATTCAGGTGAGTACTGCAGAGTCCAGGTGAGAGATATTAGGGTCCCAGGAAAGGGTGGGAGCAGAGAAAGAGGATAGAGCCAAAACATCTCCTGATGGATTCAACCTAAGGTTTCCCAAAAAGAGAGGAACCAGATGACCTCAAGATCCATGGTCTGAGCCACTGGGTAAACCGAGGTGGCATTTATCAAGACAGTGAAGACTCCAGTAGAAACAGGTCTGGGGGTTGAGTCTGAGGCATTTGGAGTAGCAGGTGTCTTTTAGACCTCTCAGTGGAAATGTCGGATATAGAGCGTGGGACAGGTTGGGGCTGGAATGATCAATTTGGAGTCAACAACAGCACATAGACCGTATGTGGAGCCATGAGACTGGATGAAATCATGTAGACAGTGAACATAAAAAGAAGAGGTCCAGGTTTGAGTCCTGAGGCTTTCTGATATTTAGAAGTTGGGACATTGGGGAAGATCCAACAAAGAAGGCTGAGAAGGAGCACTCTACTGAGGAAGGAGGCAAACCAGGGTAGTACCATATGCCTGCAGCCCCGTGCAGGGTCTCGGAGAAGGAAGTGACCAAGTGTGTCAGCTGCTGAGAGGGTGAGGAAGACGAGGGCTGAGAATGATCACCAGACCTGGCAACACAGAGCTCACTGGTCACTGAGACAGGTGTGGCAGAGAAAAAAGCCTGACTGGAAAGTGTTCAAGAGCGGGGGACATAAGAGGGAGGGTAACAGAGACAATTCTCTCAAGAAATTTTGCTATAAAGGGGAGTTACAAATGGGGTGAAAGCTAAGGGCAGAGTGGTGGGGTGAATATAAATTTACTCAAATATCTATGGGTTTGTTTCTTGAAAATTAGAAACAGATTCAATTTGTATTATCCTCGAAGTTGTATTATACTTTGAGTTTAAAAGGTCTTTCCCATACTTGTTTCATATAGTCCAGACATTATCTATTTTTAGATAAGGAAAAAAATTCAGAGAGGTAAAGTGACTTGCTTGAGGTGTAGAGAATCTGACGTGTACACCATGCTGTCTCACACGGAGTTAGATGATGCCATGGAAAGACTGTGGGTTTACAGTTTGGTAAAATGAAATGCTGCACGTAATAAAACTTCATAAGGAACTGTATTAAACTTCGTTGTTCTTTTCCACGTCTAATATTACTAAATCTTCAAGGAGAGGATACTGTTTCTCACAAGTACAGCTCTGCAATGCAAGGTGTATTGGAGAATCTCACCTTTTCAGCAAAAACGGGGTTTCCTGATAAGTGGCTCAGGTGTAGAAACTCCAAATGCAGAGTTCCAAATTCTGCCAAAATACTGCTGCCTCCTGAGGCCCAGGGCCAGTTCCTTCCAATCCCACTAAAGAAGAGAAGAGATTGAACAGTTATGGGTCAGACTAATTCCAATTCTTGCAGCTCTAAATAGTAGAAGTGAAAGAGACAGCTTTTGAATAATAGCACCTCAGCTAATTATCTGGATATCTTTGGCTGCTGGTTTCAGGCTTTGACTCTTATCTACAAATTGAAAATCAGTGTTGACTTAAGTCAGAAAAAAAGTTGCTATGTGCTTGCTGTTGATTAACAGACAAATATTTTGGAAGGTACAGGTGTCATATAGAGATGCACACCCATTCCAAATAGAATACAAAACACCCCCCCAACATACCCCAAATCCCACATAAAGCCCTCCAACATTGTAATTAATTTCAGCCTCAGAGTCCATGGACTATTATAGATATTCACATTATATTTAAAAGTTTTCTTTGATATAAGATAAATTTCAAAGATTCATTGATTATATACACACTCCACCTCTCCCCAAACCCTCCCTCCACTTACTAGACTTTGTTTTGTTTTCCCCCACACTATTTTCCCTATTTCTAAGTATATTTCCCAGGGCACTCACTTATTCCCTGACACATTTAATCTATGTTCAAGAATTTCAACACAGTTAATGTAATTCAAATCTGAAAGGGGTCAAAAGGCATGAGCTTCAAAAATTACTGCCTCATGCCTCATCTTGGAGAAATGGTTTTGAGTCCTACACATCCACACACACACACACACACACACACACACACACACACACAAAGTGGCTTTTGAGACATGGTCATACTCTCTTGGGTACAGTTTATTTTTGGAGAGCCACTTAAAATGTCAAGACTTAATGTGATAATTGAAATAAAGAATAAAGTCAAGGATTTGACCAGTAAATTGCCTTGCAGAAAGCTGAAAACCCATATTTTGGTTTTAGTTCAGATGCACATTTATTGCATGCCTACCACTTGCCAGGGACTCTGCATGGCATTGGGTTACAAAGATGATTATAATGAATAAATCACCTTTCTCTTAAAGACCTTATAGTGTAATGTGAGAGAATGACCTAAGCATAGATAATTCCAATTAAATATGGTAAGTGCCAAGATAAGTGTGTGAAAAATTCTCTGAGCACCTAGGGCCAGGGCAGGCAATCCTTTATGGTGGGGGCACAGAAGGCTTCTTCAAGGAGGAGACTCCTGAGTTGATTGCTGAAAAATGAATACGAATTAGTGAGGAAAGAATGGTGAGAGGGAGCATCTGGACACTGAGAGCACACAGAAGGGCTAGCCAGAACTAAAAGAAGCTCCTGATGCTGCTGAATGGAGGGAAGGGAAGGTGGCCCAAGAGAAGGCTATGAGGTTCAATTGGGGCCAGGTCTTGGCGGCTTGTGGATTTCTCACTTTCTTCCATTTCCAAGTTGGCTCCATTTGAATACTGCTCTTGGTGTCCCCTAGATTTCCTTCCCTGTTTTTTTGCTTTAGATCATTCACAACTCTGGGTAAACCCTTCCAGCTGTCTTAACTTCTGCTCAGGAATGTTTAAGGAAAGGAAAACAATAAGGACAACTGGTATCTAAAATTCTAGGCTGGCCTCACTCTTATTCCATGTCTTTTTAGAGCAAAACCTAGATTTTATCTTCAAACATAGATTTATAGTAAACATAATAAAAAAGTAAACAGAAATAAAAGAGAGCTAAAAATCACATATTCATTTATTTTTAAAAATGCCTTATATTTATTCAGTTCTGGGAATGTAAATCAGTTTTTATTTTCATGGTTGGCTTAGATGAAAGGAATAGCCAATCATCCAAATAGGATGAACAACTACTTTCAAATTTTATTAACATATGGCAAGTACACACAGTAATTGGTCATTAATTTGTTGTCATGACTTTTTTTTTATTCCAAACATTTTATCACTGACCAAAGTCAATAAACCAAATTAAGCAAAACTAAAAATTTCTATGTTCTAGAGAAACTATTAAAATCAAAGCCACAATATCAGAGTTAAGAGGGAATGAGGACTTTGTCATGGAGAAAGAAGAGGATAGTGTACTAGGAACCCAGCCTAGTTTCCAGATCTTCAATGACTGGTTCTTTTCAGTTCAGGGTATGAGGGTGCGTTGGCACACTCAGATGAGAAACTCAAATAATATATATGTATAAAAGTAAAATGCAAATTACTTTTGTATTCATGCATTTGTTCCCTGCTATTAATGTGGTTAATTAAGAGAAAACCAGTGATATACTGAAAAAAGTTCAATAGATTAAAAAAAATTAAGATTGAAAAAGGGTTATATATATATTCCCTCTTCCTCCTCGGCACACATTCATATCTGAAGGAAAACAGCACACTTTTTTATCACTGTTTAATTATATAGGGAGCAAGCACAGTAAAAGCACTAGCAAAGGATATGTCAGGCTAACAGAAAGAAAGCTGGGTTTAGAATACAGGTATATTTATATGAGAGAATGGCTTTGGTTACCATTCTTTCAACCTACAGAATTAATGTATTTCAGTAAAATTGTAAGATAGATAGTTGTGCTAGCTCTTAAATATAAATGAAAGCAGGGTTTCAAGAAGTCAGAGAGGGCATCATTATATCTAGATATTTAATAAGGTCATTTGCCTTTTCTTAGGCAAAGCTGCAATAACTGGAGATGGGTCTCGGGGAGAGTATGGGGCACACACCATAGGCCATCACAGCTAAAATACGTGTGTAATAGGGGAAATGGCTGCCTGTTTGCACAGCACATGTGTACTGAATCAGAACCAGTTTTGGACACTCACAGAATGATTTCTAAGGTCTTTTGTCTCTAACTTCTAGAAGTCTATTGAGGAACCTATATACTTGTATGGCTCTAATTTCTAAAGTGATATATACAGACATTGGGCATTTGACATCAAAATGATGGGTTTATGACAGGAAAGTGAGTGCAGAGCGAGCTTTGCTCGTTTGGTCTGGGGCTCTGGGCATCCCATGATACCAAATGCTAAAGCTTTCTAGATCTCTGGGTTGAGATCAATCTCATCTGAGAAAGTAGGGGATTTAAAATGTCTTCAACTTTAGTTTCCTTATCACAATATTTTAAAGGCAGTCATGGTGTTCTTTATTTTATCTTTATCTATTTTACAAACACTAATAATATTTTAGAAAAATATTTCAAAAATAAAATAAGTTTGTGTTCAGAAACTATTAGTTCCATCAGGCAGGCATAAAAGGGAAGAATATTTAAATATTCCCAATCTTGTTACAATGATTGCAGCTTAAGCCAAAGCGATGAGTCAGCATATGTAAATGTATACACAAAAAGGCAATTAACATGATTTGGGAAACTGCCAAGTGAGTGGTTCAAAGAATCCTGGAGTCGAACTTCAAACTTCTGTATCAGTCTAATTTCACTTATGTCTGTTTCCTCCAATCCCCAGTTCTTCCATTTTAAATTGGAGTACTATTTAATACATATTTTTCAATTTTTAATTTAAATTTTCAGTAGTCTACAAAGGAAATAATTCTTTGAAGATAAAACATCACAACAAGAAATAACTGATTTTGTCAAATGCAACTAGAAACGTGTCTTTAAAAAAAAAACTGAGTCACTATGATTCTTTTGAAAATGTGAAATACTATTCTGTTGCTTTAGAGAGTATAAGTTGAATGTAGTTTATTAGCAGTGGTAATATACTTCCACATCCTACTGCACTCAAAAACAAGGAGGTACAATTATTTACTGACCTCATAGCTCTGATAAGCAGTGGGCATTATGCTTGTTTTCTTTTCCTAGGAATGATTAATAACACCAGAGAAAGGAACTACCTTACTAGTATTGCTATTCTATTCACGTTTGAATCCCATGGGAGAGCTGCTAACTCCTCCTAGAGCTTGTAATGAATCAAGTAGCTGGAGGGTTGTTCTGGATTGATGGTATATCCCTTCAAAATAATCTTAAATTGAGGTACCCAAAGTGGTAAGTTATAGTCACTGCCCAGACACAATTTAGATCATTAAAAAATACATTTGGCTACTTAGTATAATCAAACTCAACAAGTAAAGAATTTACAGAACTGAAACAATTCTAAAAAATTGCCAGATGAATATATAAACAAAGCACTAAATAGTTATACAGTCTTGATTAGCTATGACTTTCAATTTATTCTTCCTTCCTGCGTGCTATTTTATGCCAAATGGGAAATGGCCCAATAAACAATTTTCTTGAGGATTCTTGTCTGAATAATTTCTGATTAGCTGATCAGTAAACAAATGCCCTTCAAGCTCAAAGTCCAGAACACAGGTTACTCCTTGTGGCTATGGAGTTAACAAGTTGTGGAAGAAAAAAAATTCCCCACATTCTTTCTATTATGGGAAAGCCTTACTTACATATGCAAATAGAGGGGCACACAGGGATATTTAATTCAAAAGAGCAGATAATCCAATATTATTCCTTTTGGATTTTAGCACAAATTAGGAAAGAATAATTAGAAAGTTCATGAACCATTGTTTCATTTAACTGTATTCCCAAAGCTAATTGATTTTGAGATTAAGCCATTTCAGCTTCACTTATTACAAATGCCTCCTTCCTGAACAGATTCACACAGTGCTGATCTTCCAAGTTTGTAGTCTAAGACTTCACTGAGAGTTGGACTAATAATTCCAGGGAATGGCATTTTAGGACTAGTCAAGATTCTATTATAGCTCGACCACAGAAAATTCCACTGGGGAGGACTACTTCCCCAAGAGCTATCCACAGGGAAATGGTGGCTAATAAAGGGCAGCCGTATGATTGAATTAATTCACAATTCATGGTTTACTGCTCCTGAACAGCACCATGTGGGTTAGATCTCTAAAGAATCTCCACACTTAATTTTTTTTAACCAAAGGCCAAAATAATGTTTTAAAATTAGCTAGCTTGCTTATGGGTAGTTATTTTAAAGATTTTTTTAATTTATTTATCTGAGAGAGAGAATGGGAGACAGAGAGCATGACAGCGGGAGGATTAGAGGGAGAAGCAGACTCCCCGCTGAGCAGGGAGTCCGATGCGG